AATATCTTATAGTTACCTTTAGTATGAATAAGAAATATATTAGAAATATTTGATACATAAAATTTAGTTAAGTGAAATAATCTAATAACAATGTTCTATCATATATAGGAGAAAAGTTTTGTGCAAAATGTATTACTCCGAAGTAGAGCTCGTCGGACTAGTTCGGATTCGATTGATTTTCCTTCAAAGTCTTGATGCTAATAAATTAAACATAATCTTAGTTAACTTTATCTTTTTTTTTTCTAAAATGTTTTTCATACAGGAAGTAAAACTTGTACTCTTATCCAACAAAAAACAGTTAGATTAGTTCATACTCATCGGCTTGAGTAATAAAAGGTTGAAACGAATGCATTCTTTCGCTGAATGCAGATATCCTTAGAATATTCGTAAAATCATTATTAAAATAAATAAATTTGTTTCTTTTCTTTTTGAAATATCTATTCAATGGAATCATCAAATTCTAATTCATTCGTTTAATTTTTAATCAGATGACATATCCATTGCGACGGCATCAATGGTGTGGTAGACGTTTCAAAAATACTATCGTGACAGCGAAAGTTTCTTTTCTAGGGAGATTATAAAACTGAGTGAATCTGATGGACTCAATCTAACTGTGCGAATTTAGCACAATGATGGAAGAGACTTTCGAAGAACTGCTCGAAAATTATCGCGACAGCAGCAGACTCCCAACTACGATGGACATCTATGCTTGAGATTAAATTCCTAATTCAATATTTTCATTTCTTAATAAAATTGATTCATACGTGTATACTAAAAAATGTCGACAGAAATAATATCAGATAATAAAACCATCGAATGAAAAAATGTCAGCAACAGGGCTCCGCGTGAAATGGAATGAGACGAAAAAAATTTGTCCCATGGAACTTCACATTCGTCAAATATCTTATAAAAAAATTCTGAACACATCTATCATCTCCATTTATACTATCAAATTTTACATTATTTCATTTTATATTTCATAGTTTTATTATAACCAAGTTCATATCAGAGATGTGCGGTCCACGGGGTTCACCCCGCGGGCCCCGCGGGGCCACGTGGCGACGGCCGGGCGGGGAAGAAAAATTTGATTAAACGCGGGATTAACGGGGCACGGGTATTTTCCGGCACATGGGCGGGCGGGGCGGGGAATAATTTTTTTAAATGACACGGGTCTCGGGCGGAGCGGGTATGAAATACACGGGTCCGGGCGGGTAAACATTTTTTTTCGGGTGTGATGAGAGATCGTCAAAACTTATTACGGGATGTCCTTAGTATAGGTATGTAGTACAAAGTACATATTGATTGGTTCATTACTTTCATCCTATTATGTACACGATTGTCTACCATTTGTTTGTTTCTTTCTTTATCGTCTGTCATACGCAACTTCTACTATCAATTTATATTAAGTGAATAACTGGACTAAAACTTATTTTATATTTAGAATTATCGTTTGATTTTTTTTGTGAATTACTACTTAGGTCTGACCAAAAGTTCTGACAACATTATATAAGAATATAACGATAAGGAGGTATCTTTAATTTTATTTTATCAAATTTTGAGGACAGTTGCCATGATTATTTATACCAAGTTTGATCCTTTCCAACGATTAGTTAAAAGTTTTTTGAAGTTTTTTCGAAAAAATTTTTAGGTATCATGGATACCGCATGAGCTAATCATATTTCATTTATTGTGAAAAGTTAGCAAAATCTTGTTCGATCATATCAGTTGCATTCTAGTACTGCTAGTGATGAGATATAGATTTATTTTAGATAGGTTAGTCATAAGTTATCCGATGCTGGCTGGCTTATTGAAGATGAATCGTCAAAGACTATTGTTCATAAATAAAGATTTTAGAAAATGCTTTGTTTGGTATATTCTTTAAATCAAATACTCTTGAATGTAGATAAAGGCAAGACTGTAAGTCACAAGTATTATACTGAAAACTCTCCAAAACATTTTATTAATGAAATATGGAAACAAACAGAGACACCAGGTTCAAAATGTACAAAATTGATTGACGGTCATCGTTGACTTCATACTCATCTAATGTTATTAATTGCATGACAGAAGAAGGCATCAATATAATATCATATCTATCATATTCGCCAGGCCTGATACTATGTAACTTTTCGCTAACTAATTCTATTAAATGTAGTTTAACTGATTAAATAAATGAAACATGATAAGCTCGTGCGATATCTAAAAATTTTTTCGAAAAAAACTTTTAACAAATTGTTGGAAAGGTTCGAACTTGGTATAAATAATCATGGCAACTGTCCTCAATATTTGATAAAATAAAATTAAAGCTGCCTACTTACCTTTATATTTTTATATAATGTTGCCAGAACTTTTGGTCAGACCTAAGTATGATCGAATTACATGATTGATCTCCTGATGAATCACTTGATAGGACAGCTTCGTCGAATACTGATCGTTCATCTACAATTATTTCTTCATCTTTCAGTCATTGCTCATCGAGTAATATTAAATGTAATTCGTCAAATATAAAAATGTTTTTAAAAGAACAACCACAAAAATACGTGCTTGTCGACAATCACAAAGTGAATCATTCAAAACCATCTCATATAGACTTGAGTTTTGTTTTTGTAAAAAATGATTTTTCATAAAAGGAATGCATCATTAAAAATAAAGTATTTGGTAAATAAAAAATTTCTTCGGATTACACGGGGACGGGTCGGGACCCGTCACAAAAATGGCGGGTCGGGCGGGCCGATCCAAGAAGTTGCCTGTGCGGGGTACGGGCGGAGCGGGTATAGGTTTTCCGGGGCACAGGCGGGGCGGGGATTCTCAAAAAGAATATCCACGGGGTTCGGACGGGACGGATTTGTGAATTTTACGGAGCGGGCCCCGCGGGGCATGGAAAATCAATGC